TACCAATGAGACAGGTTATTGCTTGGATTTGAATCCAAGCATCCAATAAAAAGAAGGATCTTAAAGGAACTGATAATATTCTGATGATTAGCGTTATTTCCACAGTTGTGGTCTTGACCGGTCTTGAAATAAAATGCCGAGTCCTCAGCGCCTGAGACCGAGACAAGACCGAGACCAAATGCGATCAAGTCCGAGACGAGACTGAGACCATCCAAAAAAATGTTCAAATAAGTACTCGAGACCGGTCTTGAGAGCAAGACCGATCTCGAGTACTACAACACTGCTCATACTTTGTTATTACACCAGTATATTTATATGAATAACAAAAAACACAACATAAAAACACTTTATAAAAACAACACATTATTTCATGTACAGGTTTAGTTTTTGTACATAAATCTTGTCCCTCTGAGGCTTTGTGAAGGCAAATCTGTGTTTCGCATGGTCCAAAAAATTAATGTACCAGTTAGCTTTACAATTTTTTATATATAAAAACTTTTTACTGTTCACTGTATTTAATGTGTTTTTTCAAGAGCAACTATGCAAATTAACAAACATCAAGAAAAAGTACACTATATTATATTATATTCCATGTGAATCCTAGAATGTTCATCATTCTTTGCCTTTTCTATAAAGTGCTGCACTGTGGTTGGAGGTGGTGAACAAATATACTTCCTGTCAGCTCAGGTCGCTGCTTAGCTTCACCCTGAGCCATCCTATGTGTTTGTATTGCAGAGGAGCAACTGTGTATGCACAACTTTTAACGAGAGTCAGTGGATGTGTTCAATTTTTAAGGCTGCATGCTCCAAAGACTCGTCTACCTGGACTGGAACCTTCGAGGTCCGTGAAAATAAGGAGAAGAGTTTTGGCTGTGGATTCAAACAGGTCTAGCCTTCTGCGGCTTTCACAGCCGCATGCTCTATCGCTTAGCAACTTTGAGGTTTGACACACAAAGGAGGAAAAGAATGAATAATGAACTTTCTTTCTAATTCTTTTTCTTTTTTTTTATTGTAAAGGGAACAAAAACACTCATGAGAATACAGAGTGGAATAAAGGTGGCAACCACCAGGAGCATGAACAAATAAAAGATAATGTTATGATATAAAAGCATAGAAAGATATAAGTAAATTTAAACAATGTATATATATATATAAATATATCTCCAAAAGTAAAAGTAAAGTAAATTGTGCAAAATAGCAATTGTAAAATAAAAATCCAATCAGATTTATACTACAGATATATTAGAATCTGTCCTTAAATTACAGCCAAACCCATTTACACAATAACAGATAAAAACATTTCAATAAACCAAAGGTTACCTGCAAATATCTGACTAGTTACTCATTTAAAAAAAGTATTTTGATTTGTTTTAGACAGATCTATTCACATACTTGTATTATATTAAACTGCATTTCCAATATTCACCATTATTTAGTGCCTTTTTCCTCTGAGCACAGAGCAGCCATCTTGCCTGGACTTGCAATGAATCACGGGATACCCAAAGCTACATAGGGTAGCTAACTAGGGGTCTTGAAATATGAGCACCGCGCTATGATGTAATTGGCCTATGAGTCCGGTCTTAGCAGGATGCAGCCCCTGAAATACAATTCAGCCAATGGGTTAACATTCTTGCGCCCTAGGTGGCAAATAGGTCACAAATAAGAGGAAAACTGGAATGACTCTTTATTCATCATATTATAAAATATGATGAGTAAATATTAAATAATAAATATATATCTATATATATAAATCCCATCTAAAAACTATATATCTATATATATTGAAATATTTAACATTTTAATTTAAAATTAAATCATAAAATAAAAAAAATAAATAAATAAAAAAATAAAAAATGTTATGTCTTAATCAGGGTCACTGGGTTGGTGGGGCCATGCCCTAATGCCCTCTATCAGCCAGCCACCAGTGGGTCAGGATTAGGGTAAATGTAGCTAGCAGGATTAGCAGTAACTAAAATGTATCTAAATCAATGTGAAGTCCTACTATGAATAAAAAAAACAAAGTAGCGTGTATGTGTGGTAGTGGGGGGTACTTTTCTGTTTTAAAGCTTGATTGGGTCAGAGCTTGATTTTCAGTCTTTTTTATGGTTCTGATCTGAAGTAAATACAGAGTTATTAGAACTGGGTCCACCCAAGAAACTACTTGGCTGGACCCTGCAGTTTCTTGATGCTGTGATGGGTTTTCTGAGCCTGGCCGACAGAGTTTCTCAATTGTTTGGATTTTTAGTTTTAGGCACAAAGGTGATAAAAACAACAGGGTAAAGGTCAACGGGGGCATACAGTCAGAATCATCCAACACAGTAAACTTTACAGCCCTGCTGGGAAACGGAATGGCAGATAATAAATCATTTAATTGGTCAGTTTTACAAACAGCTACAGATTTAGAGTTCAATCATTTAATCAAATCAATATAGGGAGGAAGATAAATAAAGGCTTATCTATAGATACTGCAGAAATGATTGCATAATAATGGCAGTAGAATCGATTGAGGAGATTAGACCATTAAGAGTCATGATTTGCACAGATTCAAAGTCGTCATTAATCAGTCCACAAAGAAATCATTACGAAAGTCGTTCTGATTTACTGTTAGATATTTAAAAAATACTGTATCGCATTCAGATGATGGGATTAATGGCAGTTTTTATATGGGTTTCTACACATTTGGTGCTAAAGGGAAATAAAATGGCTGATAAAACGGCAAAAGAATCCGCAAACAGAAGTATAAATCAGATTAGAGTATAGAGGTTGTTTTTTTTTTTGTTTTTTTTAGCCAGCTTTTTTAGCCAGCTTTGTACGGGCTTCTGGTTATTTCCCCATTGTTTTGTTTTTTATTTTTTGTTGAGAAGCCTTTATCAAATGAAATGTTTTATTGTTAATATTGTTTGAAAAAATATTAGCCTTGAACCTCTGAACTAATAATAATAATTGAACTTTATTGATCTCACATTGGAGAAATTGACTTTCTGCATTTAGCCCATCCCCTTGGTGAGCAGTGGGCTGCCATTGTGCGGGGGTCTTGCTTAGTGACCCAGAGTGCCAGCTGTGGAGATCAAACCAGGTATTGCATCCTTCTCAAAACAAAAGGGCACTGCTCATGTTGTGCAGAATTAATTGCTGTATTTTTGTTGTCAGTTTTGTGTTTATCTAACTTTAAAATGTCAGAGTGGGATATTCTACATGATGGGATCTTTGCTCCCACCTTCTGGTTTAGAGAAGAACTGTTGGTTCTAGAGGCGGAACTAGCAGTTCCATGTTTGTGACAAGCCTTTTCACATCTTCTAAAACACTGTTTTCTCAAATTTAGCAGGGCGCAGGTCAGAATATTCTTATCCAGTTGAAGTCCAGCTAATGAATCAGAGAAGTTGAACTGCAGAACAAACTAATTCATAACAGGTCAAACTGCTGAGAAGAGATCCGAAGCCTGTTACACAAAACCAATTTAACAAACTAAGACTGAAATTCTCAACTCTGAATTGATCTAGCCTAAGATTGGAAACTCAGAGTTTTCAGTTTCATAAAAGCTGCTTTGGGTTAGTTTAATCAACTCTGAGTAGATCTACTCAGAGTTCAGCATGTGCATACAAAGTATGAAAAGCCATTATCAGTGAATCACTAATGCAATGTCACCATGACAACAGGAACAGGAAGTGTCTATTCACACCGCTGGAACTAGATATTTTAATGCAGAATTAGACAGTTAAAATGTTTAAAAGACAGAGCACCAGCTGCAAAGGAGATGAAAATGGTGGAGGAGCAGATTGCTGCTCAATATATTGCTAAGGTTTATATCAAGTCATCTATGGAAGGCCATTTTTCATGTGTTAAAGCACTCTCCTCTCTATTGCTCTATTTGTAAAGCGCTAAAATTCATTCTTCCTGCCCAAAATCACATTCCTAGAACTGTAATACCAGATTTTCTAAATTATATTTTTGCACAAGAAACTAATTTTCAGAAAGTAAAATACCAAATTGTACAAGTAAGAATTAAGTTTCATATATCTAGAAATGTTTACAAATTTTAAGTGCTGTTTTTAATATTTATCAGCTTGGCTGAATATGTATTTATATCTGAAATACATTTCCTTATGGTGAAGATGAAGTAAAACAAAATGTTGTTCTAACTGGTAGGACCTGTGCATCATCTCATGGGGTTCCTCCTCATGTTGATTCTGTCTTTTTTTACACAGTTAATACTAAGTAGCTGTTTGCAGCCCCTTCAGATGTTATCATCCCATTAAATGATCATTATTAGCAGTTATCGGTCCAATAGAATGGCTTCAGATTCTGCCTCTTACCTACCAGTGGCTCAGTAGGCAGATATCACTGAATTAATCCTAATCCAAGCCCAAAGGTAGTTCCTTTTTCCTGGGGAATTGAATCTATTTATGTGTAATCCGAACATAATTTCAGCAGTTGTTTATGTACTGTAAAAAAGAAAAGAATAAAAAACTTCCTTATGTCACTCATATTAAACAAAGCAAAAACAAAAATATCATATCCTGTCAACTGAGATTATTTTAATCGCCATATTAAATCTGTGCGACTGAAAGACGGGGAATTAATCTGAAGTAAAGCTTTAAAATGTAACTTAAAAAAATAGGCAAATGCTAAATAGGTAGCTGTTATCACACATCAATGTTCTCTTAGTGATATCAAGTTCTGTTACATCCATGTTAAAGAAATCTGTATAGGGCTGCTAATGTGAGGATGGTACGCTCTGGATGTCTATGATGGACTGTTAGAAGAAAAGGTAGCACTCATTATGATAATTTTCTTAATAAAAAGGACATCTATACACAGTCTGAGAACCCTCTCCCTATAAATATTTAATTATCTGTGAGTCAATGCCGCTCATTCTTTAACTGGATTCTCATCTAAAGGACATGTTTTGGTTGTGTTCTTAACACCTAAGGTGTCTAACGAACCTACTGACTGATTCTCTTGTGCCCTCTTCATTCTCTGACATGGGAGCTGGCTCAGAGCTCGTCTGCCTAGCTGTATGTTTCCTGGACAGGGCTTGTGAACCTGGATGACAGCCACCTTTTGTACCTCTGCTTCTTTTTCTATGTCTGTTTCCGTCTCCTTGAACCCCAGTCAGCCTGGACTGGAGCCCTGCTGACACGCAGTAGGGTCTTCAGCAGCGGCCAACACATCCAATGAGGGAATGTAATTCACTGCCTCTGAAACCAGCAGTTTTTCTCTAAACCAGAAGGTGGGAGCAATGATCCCATCATGTAGAATATCCCACTCTGACATTTTAAAGTTAGATAAACAAAAAACTGACAACAAAAATACAGCAATTAACTCTGCACAACAGTAGACTAGAATTTAAGAGGATTAAGAACATGTTTTTCATGTTTATAGGGTAGAGTTTATGTCTGCATGTTCTATAAAATTCAAGAAAAAGATCAGCTTATTTAATGAATATATTATGTAGAAGCATAAATTGATTTGATGTATAAATATGTACCTAGCTTAATTAGCAGGGCCTCATAAAAATCTGCTCTGTCTTCTGTGATTTATTTAGAAAACATAAATGTAGGTTCATAGAGATCAGTTCAGGCAATGCAAAATAAACTTAAGGTGGACGGGTGTATTAGGGAGTTTGTCGTGGTGAGTGTGTGTGTGAAGGGGTAAGTGGGGGGGCTGGTACTCACTTCCTGTCAGGGAAAAGAGGGGGCGGGCAAAGGAATTGAAAACAGACGTCTCTCTCTCCCTCTTTTTACTCTTCTAGATCAGAGTCAGACTGGGGAAGAGCGCTGAGGAAGAGGTGCGCTGAGGAAGAGGTGCGCTGAGGAAGAGGAGCTGAAACCCTGACAGAAGAAGAAGAAGAGAAGGAGGATCTAAAGGTTTGAACAAACTAAATCCTTCTACAGATTCTTTTTTTCTGAGAACTGGTTTAGTTGATGGGGTTCCACTGAGCTGCTGGGTTCCACTGAGCTCCTGGGTTCCACTGAGCTGCTTGGTTCTGCTGAGAGGCTATGTTCTGCTGAGGCAATTGGTTCTGCTAAGTCGCTGGGTTCTGCTCAGCTAACACTGACAGCAGTTAAAGTATGTCTGCGTTTCAGCCCCATGAGGTCACTTTTCCAGACGGGGAGAAAAAAAATCCCTCTATGGAAAAACTCAGAGTGGAAACTGAAAAACAGCAGTCAGCCCTGCTGTCGACCCAGCGGTTCTGATCGGCTGCTCAGAACCCTACATGTCAGAACCTCCAAGTTCCCGGAGAGCACGGCAGAACCATTAAAGTTCTGATTGTTCTGTCAGAGATCATCAGATCTGATCTTAACTTTTGTATCAGGAAGATGGACTCACAGGTCTATAGCTATTTAGACCTGAACCAAGACCTGGATCTGGACCTGGACTGGTGCCAGAACCTGGACTTGAACCGAGACCTGGACTGCTCCCAGATTCTAGATCCGAACCAGGACCAGGACCTTGGCTGGTACCAGAAACTGGAACGAAATCAGGACCTGGACCTGCACTAGGACCAGAATCATCAGGAGGACAATATAATTTAATTAGAAAGAAGAGACTAGAAAAGACCAGAAACAGCCTTTACTTCTCCACAGTGAGGAAGAGGCAAAGCAAATAGTAAATGCATAGAAGTTCCTCCAAGGGAACAACAACAGAGTCAAGTCTTTCTGGGAGGAGGGATCTGAGGGGAGGCTCCTGAGTAACCCTACAGTCACCAGTCTGTTATTGAAGAAGCTCTGGGATGGCTTCATCCATGAGGGGGAGACATTGTCCCACTGATGTCATTCTGTCTCCAGAGGACATCCTGAGCAGGTTCTCTGGATCCTCTCCATCCTCTAACATCCCACCATAGAAGATGGCTGAAGTCACCACACAGACAGAGAAGTTCCTCAGTAGTGCCCGCTCCAGTCCAACAGCCTCCTCAGCAGATGGAGTGTGCTCTCCCCCTTCTTCTATGGTTGGTCAACCTTTCTAAGGTCACAGCAGACCAAAGGAAGAACCTTCAGAGGTAGAAGTATCATCATCATCATGACGTTGGTCCACTACAATGAACAGTCTGATATCAGCATCCTCTAATGGAGATGTTCCTGTTAATGAACACAGGACATCAGGATGGAAGAACCGCCTCAATGTTCTTCATGAGAACCGGCCTTCTGTCAAAGGTTCTTCAATTGGTCAAAACAGTTTCACAGGGAATCTGGCAGGAGATTATGTAGATTTTTCACATCACCTGCTCAGGTAGTTCTGAAGGTTCAGAAGGTCAGTCACCAGACCAGGGCCTCACCCTCATGTTGAAGGTGAGAGTAGCTGATTGTGTCACAGTGCTGAGCCATTTGGGTTGAACTGAGGCAGCTGGGGGTGGAGAACCAAGGAAAAATCCATAAAACCTGGTTCTGGAGCCAGGCTCATACCCACCGGGGGTCACATAACCTCAGTGGCAGAATGGTGCAGTCCAGGTTCTGAGGTTCAATCACAGGGGCATGCTGTCAAAACCATCAGGGATGTTTGGGAAGAACATCAGCGACTCTGCAAAGAAACCAGCTGCTCGGCCCGGTCCAGTGATTTTCCACAAGGTCCAGATCAAATCAGAACAGCACCTTGTTCTACTGCAGTGTTCTGACATTGCTTGTAATATTTATGTAGTCATGGTTTATCTGATTGGAACCAGCTTTAGTTGGAGGAACCTGGACCTGGCTGGATTGCAGAAGGTTCTCAGAACTACTGAGCAAAGTTGTGGTTGGCTCAGACTCAGGCCTGGTTCTGTATTTCATCATGATGGGGGTTGATGGCGTAGTTAGGCAGGAAGTCAGAACAGAACCAGAATCAGAGATAAACAGAATCATCTATCTTAGAGGCCGGTGTCCCACATTGTCTTCCTCACTTATCCTGGTGAGGAAAACAATGGAAACTGCCACCTGATCAGTAATAACTCTTTGACATCACAGCTCTTTGATTGGCTGCTCTCTCCATGCTCTGCAGCCCACAGGAAATACCTTCCTGTTTATTTTCTTCTTCTGTGGTAGACTCACATTCCTTCCTCCCAGAATCAGCTGCGATTAGCTGAGCCTCCATCAAGGCCAGTTTTGATTGGATGGCTGAACACAGTGTGTCATTTGTTCCAAGCATGAGTTTGAAGAAGCTCAAACAGTTCAACAGATGGTGCCTGTTTCTGCTCACCTGAAGTAGAAATACCAGAACCAGGGACTGAGCCAGAACCCAGACAGTTTTTTTCTAGAGGAGAAGATAAATTTCATCTGAATGAATTTTCACACTGAATTATCCTAAATTTTCTCTGGTTCTGTCTCTGATCTAACCAGTGACGACATGTTTAGCCACATGCCATCATTCACTCTCTGGTGTTCTACGTTGTCTATGTGTCCTGAAACGATGTGTATGGTGCAGCTCTTCTTTCTAGGAATGTGGCCAAATTTAATAGTTCTCCAAAACTCTGTCAGCCCAGGGTGCAGACCAGGAAGCAGACCTCTCTGCAGCTTCTCTACTGTTACCCACACATTACTCCATCCAGACAGTGCCTTGCGTATGACCAAAATCAAATAAATAAAAAAGGAGGAAATCCTGATAATCTCATTAAAATTCATATCAGTCCAATCCCTCCAAGTTAAAACTATGAAAGGTTATTCATTTAACATAAGAGTTAGGCAATGACTTTTTGAAATTAATTGATTGATTTGTGAAAATAAAATAGATTTATGTTGTGTTACAGACACTTGGCAGCAGCAAGAGGATTATATTAGGAAAAATGAGGCACTTTATTTCAGGTAAAGTTATTTAAATTTTCACATACCCATGAATTCTGGGTAAGGAGAAAGAGTACGGTGAGGGGAGAGGAAAATTAACAACAATCTTTCAGTCTGACGTACTGGTTACACCAAAGTCAGTTACTAATTACAACTCTTTTGAAAATTTAACCCTTAGTTTCCCTCAGCCAAATTACAAAGCAACACAACCTCTTCTTTGTGTAACTTTGCATCATCCACCAGCTCCTTACTCTGAATACTTAGATGAGTTTTCAGAGTTCCTATCTGATTTAGTGTTAAATACTGACAAGGTCATCATAGTGGGGGATTTTAGGTGATATTAAAGGTGATATGTTAAGTGCAGCTTAAGATATCATCTTTTTAGTAACCTTTACAATTACTTTACAAAGTTATCCTTCCCCCAAAAGATTGTTTCACTTTAGCCGATCATTATCAGATAATGCAGTTATAAATTTTAAAGTATCTTTCCCACTTTCTTTCTCCTCTGTGTCTCTGAGCAGTGTTGCAGAGGCCAAACATTTAGTTTATTCCCCTTCACATGCTGAGGAGTCTGCTAAAGGGGTTGATAGTTCTCTACATACTGTCTTAGACAATGTGGCCTCATTGAAGAGGAAAAACTTTAAAGACAGAAAACTGGCTCCCTGTCTTAATGCAGAGATGAACACTGAACAAACCTGGCAGTATGATCTGGTTGATTTATCTCTAAAAAGAGTCTAGCGATTAAATGTGTTATCACTTGGCACTAATTAAATAAACTCCACTGAATTTAACTTAATTCACATGAAAGCTGCCATCATGGCTGATAACTGACATAAACATTAGTTATTAATATGGGCCCAGCTGGTCAGAACAATGCTCAAAGGTCGCTAACATGGGCCGATTCCGCTGCTAATACTGATATGTTGTCTATCCCTGGATCAAAGTTTTCATTTGAACAGATGCAACTGGTCCTTCGAAAGGCTTGATGAAGAGTCCCAATATGACGTGAGTTTGACCTTCACTTGGCCTTCAGAACCTCAGATAAAATTACAGAACCCCCAAATAGTGCTCACAGGGGTTAGGGCGCAAATTCAGCCACAGACTCAGTCATTCTCTGAGTTTTGAACCAGCAACCATTGAAGGACCAAAGCAAATAATCCCCTGCTAACCATCATCTAACCTGTTCAAACCTGAGCAGTGGCATCAAGCTGGGAGCTTTAGTAACATCAACACCTATTTTTTTATCATAGAGTTCCACCTGGCAGCACACAGCGTTCAGAAGACAAGTTCTAAAAGTTGACCTCCTGTTAAAGGTCTGTTTTCTCTTCTATCCGTTTATGTTTTCTTTTTCTGCAGCACATTTTTAAAGTTATATATTCATATAAATATCAGCTCTAGTCAGCAGGTTAATAACCCTGAACTGGTCTTCAGGTTCTAACAGACTTTTATTTTTACAGAAATGTTTGCGACTCACCAGGATCAGCAGCCATGAGGGCATCCATCAGAGGACCCATAGGAAGCCTGCTTCACGTCCTGCTCGGTGAGTTTCAGAATTCAAAATGAGAACTGAAAGATTCAGTTTTAATTGAAACTGAAAAGCTGACTCCAGCTCAGCGCTTTGTTGACTCCAGCTCAGCGCTTTGTTGACTCCAGCTCAGCGCTTTGTTGACTCCAGCTCAGCGCTTTGTTCCTTTTCAGTCAGTCTGTTCTGTCTTATTGGCTGTTCTCAGTGAGGAACCAGTGGTTCCCATTGAGAACTACTGTTTCTAAGTGAGAAACAGTATGTTCTCTGTGAGGAACAGCTGGTTCAAAATTAGAAACAGTTTGTTCTTGCTGATGAATAACTGGTTTTGAGTGAGAAGCAGTTAGTTCCCAATGAGGGACACTGGCTCTAAGTGAGAAGCAGTTGGTTGCTGATGAGCAACAGTAGTTCTAATTGGTTCTAAAAGGTAATCAGGAAGATCAGGTAATCAGGAAGGCTGAGTCCATTTTGGATAATTATACCCATCCCCTACATAACGAATTTCAGTTCCTACCCTCTGGTTCCCGTTTTAAATACCCACCAGTTCGGACCAACAGATACAAACACTCCTTTATTCCCTCTGCTCTTCAGCTGCTAAACTCTAACAGGAAAAGC